GACAATTGTAATGCAGGGTTCTCCCTCCAGCCCCCGCACTGCATGTGGGTATTTGGGAACAGTGCTATGGTGAAACCATTGCACAGTAGCCTGTCAGCAGCAATTTCACCTCCTTTTTGTCTGAGTGTGCTCCAAGTCTGGCAGCACACTAAAGACTGAAAATGCAAGTATCCCATATCTATCCACCCATACAGCCTCTTCTACCAGACCCATCACAGACATATCTGGGAGCTTTTATTCACAGGAAATAGGCTGTCTAACTGTGTCAAACAGGTAAGAAAAAGTCTTAATATCTCCTATTACTATGTTTTTCCAAGGGGGGGGGGGGGTGACTGAAGGTTTCAGCAGCTATGTAATTTTCCCCTGATTGTTTACAACAGGAAACAGAAATTCTCGGTTTCAGCATGGGCTTTATGACACGACCGAGCCTCAGGAGGATTCCAGCCTTATCCTGGAATCCCAGGAGCTAGCTGACTGTCGTCCCAGTCAAAATCCATTTTCTGTCCCACTATGTTTTCTTGGGGCTCAGTCCTGCAAGGTGCAGTGTTTGTTGGCCAGGAGCAAGGAAAGCCTGTATTCTTTTCCTGACAGAAAGTACATTTGAAGTCTCTTGGGAGTCCGTGGACAGAGTCTGTGTATACCTTAGCACGCAGGAGCTGGAGTGACCATCAGCTGATAGGGATGAGCCCTTATCCACTTCTGCATTTGAGCAGAAACAAAGCAAGCCTCCCAGAAAAGCTTTGTCACATTTCCAAAACCAGAAAACTCCCTTTTTCTGTCCTTTGCCCTAAACTGCAGCTTGAGATTCATCCTTCTTCTTCCCTAAATAGCTAAGATTCAAGCTAAATAAAGGTATTGCAATTTGGTTTTAGCTGGAACATGTTAGCTAAAGGAAATACTGTAAATTACAGCACAATCTTGCCACACTATTGTGACTATGTAGCTGATAACTCAGCAGCCGGCTTACAAATGCAGCTGAGAACTCTTTGTTAAGTAGGAAAAGCAAAGCAACAGTTGTTAAAAATGAGCAGTCACTAAAGATTCAGGACTTACCCTGAGTCATCCCTGGCTCCCTTCTGTCCTGCTGATGTTTTCATCCTTACAGCAAACTTTAAGACACTTTCTGTTTCACAGTGGCTGGAGAGTTCCTCGGTAAGAAAAGCAATTCCTTTCCATCGCTGAGCAGAACCTCCACATCCTCAGGTTTTGCACTGAAGATGGTATTTCAAGGGGCGTCAGGGGGAGGATGTTTAAAACCAGCTTCAGGCTCAGTAGTATCAGAGGGCAGAGGACTAAACAAACACTGAAATGAAAGCAAACTACCAAGAAGATCCGATTTTAGCCTCTCTTATTTCTACTTCCTGTATTTATATGAACGGGGGATTTCAGGAAGAGGCAGTCTTTGGTGGTCAAGGGTGTGTGTGCGTGTGTGTGTGTGTGTTAGAAACCCATATTTAGTAGTGCAGGCAGGTTAACCTCATTAGAAAGAAGGGCATGAGACCATCAACTTGTTTCTCTAACTTAAATAAGTTTCAAGGGAAATTGTTTTACAGGCTACAGGTATATCAGGAGGCAACAGAGCATAGTGAACTTTGTAAAGGATTTTGTAAGGCAGCAAAGCAGTAAGTCTCCGTCTGCAAATTCCTGAAGCATGTGTATTTCTACTGCTTGAGTAACTGGAACCAGATGGAGCTTGGAAACCTTTATATTTACACAGGACCTGAGAAAATGAAATGTCTAACACTAGCAGAGGACAGCTTCACAAAAACATTCCCAGTTAAAGCAAAAGCTAATGATAAGGTTGTACAACTGCTAGCAAATGAACAGCTATCTGTGCTGTGAAGCTGCAGTCAGTCTCAGAGCACATTTGACCCAGAGTTACTTAAGTGATCAAGTAATGGTTGCTGTACGGGAAACCTGACTGAATACAGACCAGCTGTGGAAGCTGGGGACTGACAGATGTGCTGTCAGACAGGGCTGGTGGCACTCCTATTTGGCAACGCCATTGTTCCAGAAATATCTGATACTAGGAGAATGCATAATGGAAAAAATAAGGCAGAAGTAGGAAGCAGAGGCGGAGAAAAGCAATTGCATGGAATGGACAGGGAGACAAAGGTAACTTTTTGCCCCTTTTATCTTTAGAAGGAATTTCTCAGCTTTTTAAAAATAGACAGTGCCATACAGCCCATAGCAGAATGCAAATGTCAGGGAACTGCCAGTGCATTGGCAAGAGGGAGACTAGACCTCAGTGTAGAACACAGAGCCAATTCTGCTGGCACTGAGCTAAGGAGAGTCAGGGGGTCCTTCACCGTCACCAAGTCACAACTTCTGTGCTAACACTAGACCAAATTTTCCCTTTTTTTTTTTTTAATAAAGACTGTGACTTCTGTTCACATGAGAAAATTTATGTTCTAGCTTTTAGAAGGATTCATCTTAGAAAATCAAAGAGCCTAAGTGAAAGACTGCATGATGGAAAATTCGCTACCCTTCTACATAAGGTGTCTTAGGGTTTAATTGCTGGTATTATTTAAATTCACACCTGATTCTTTCCCTCGTTTAGTTTTAAATTTTCAGCTACTGTATTTCATAATGCTCTTTTCTACTACATTAAGGAGCTAGTTGCTCCATCTCCTGGAGTAATTTTCAGGCAATGGCAAACTCATTCAATGAAGAATTTAGTCCTCTTAGACAGGCAGGTTGGCTGAGATTCACTCATTCCTTACTGCAGGCTTGTCAGATCTCAGCTCTGAATCCTTCTGTGGGTTCTGAGCGCAGAGGTCCAAGAAAAAAATATGTTCTAGATTTGCTCACCAGCTGGGCACCTTTGAAATGCACCTTGGGTACTGGCATGAGAACAACCTCCTACACGCCTCACACGAATTCAGCTCTACCCCACATTTCCATTTCCCTCCCCTGCAATTCGGCAGGGACCAGGCCCACTCAGCATTTACCCTTGTTTTGCTGGAAAAAAAGTTTGCTGAGACAAAAACTGGGAAGTTGGGCTGCTTGCATGGACTTCCTCAGATGGGAAAAACTGTTCACACAAATAGGCAGCTGTCCTATGCGAAGACCTAAGATTTTGCAAATGCAGAACATCACAGAGTGTTAGACAATTCCAATGATATTTTTAGGGAAGCAGGAACAAAATTACTAGAATTATTCACAAGATTTGGGGGGAAAAAATGGCAACAATACAGAATAAAAAAATCCAGTATTTTGGTGCTATCTCAGTTTCATGTGATTTGAGTAAAATCTTTCACACTACTTCCAATGTAAAGAATGTAGTTTCAGAAATGTGAAGTTTCAAAATTTGTTTCGCTAAAGATATTGACCAAATTTAATTTTAAAAGATTTTGTAATTTTCTACAAAGTACTCAGTATCTCTGTAAAATATTTAAAATATGAAAATGAAGACAAATTTTAACTTAAGAAATTTTGTCCAGTCTTTACTAGGTATTTTTTTAAGACAGGTTTGGAATGTGACACTATGTTCTAGTATCAGGCTTTGGAAGTAAACAATTACACAAAAGCTAAATGACAAAATAACACCCAGTTACTTCAAACTGAGGCTCCTCTATGATAAATCCAAGCTGAAAGGGGAAATTCATTTCTTTTCTAGAACTGATTCACCCTTTCCATCTTAAGCCACAGCATGCTGCAGCCCGTTTTTGTAATTTTATGCAGCCGAGTTGGAAAGGTTTAAAAATGGCTTATGGGGGAAGCCATTAAGTACGAGCACTTTGGCTATAAAAAAGTGCTTTCAGCATATGCACAGATTACACGACAGTTCTGTTTTCCATATAGTAGGAAGTGGCTGCATCAATAATACAGCATGTATTAACAGTCCATAGGAATTGCCATGCCTATTGTGTCACTAATCCATAGATTATGTGCCTTTTATAGAGCCTATTACATAACAGATCATGATGGGTCATCATGTCAAGAATGGAAGGATTAAAAGAAGAGGTATTTTTCACATTCAGATTCTGATTCCTAGAAGGTAATTCTTTGTATAAGAAGGAATCCTTTTCTTTCCCCAGCTTAGAAAAATTTAGCTTAGCATACATTAATAAACGAACCCTTATGTAAAAATCAAAGAAGGATATCCCTTTTCTCCACTTCCATGAGACTTTTCTGTAGATGCACAAAAGCCAAGAGTGGCTAATGGCAGGTTTATACAGCAACAGGGATTCCAGTCTCATGCACAGTGCTTAAGAAAAATAAGGTCAAGATTTGTTTTAACTTGCATCTCCTGGTTGTAAACTGGCTAGGAGTATTCATGAGAAGACTTGTCTAATTAAACTGTTAATACACCAGGCCATGAGATGAAGTTAACTCTTAGCTTCTCTTTTTCTCCTTTTTTTTTTTTTTTTTTTGCATTTAAAAGCTTTTTGTGAGCCCAGAACAGACTGTACCAGAGCCTGTGTACATATATACCAGAAGTCATCAGACTCTGAGGTGGACTACAAGGATGTTGAAAATGGACAATCAAGGGTAAGAAGGAGTACCTCCAGAGGTTAGGTAGCTGGGAAAGGAAAATAGTACTGCACAGCCTTCAGATCTTACTTCCACTCCTTTGTCAGCATCCAGTACTCAGTGTGAACCTGCTGGACACCACCGTACCATGAGACAAAGCAGCCAAAATGCTCTCCATCAGGGTGTTTCTGAGCTGTCATAATTGCTTCTGAATCAGTGCCTCAGTACAGCAAACCGTGTTCTCAGCAATTCACACACTTCTAGCCTCAAAAGAGCAAATTGTGTGTTTCAGAATTGCTGCAAATCAAAGTAATACACTTAACTCACTCCAAATAATGGCTTGATCCAGGCAATACTCCCTGGAATAGATGAAAATGTGGGCCTTCATTAATTCAGTTCAGCAGGGTCCAGATTTCACCAAAAAAGTAAGGGCACATAACCTATTTGGGTCCTTAAATTTTAGATTTTCAATAATAAACATGAGAATGTTTCACATCTTATCATCTGAGGAAAAAAACACACTCTAGTTGTTTATATAATTTATTGATAGTGTACATATTTTTATATAGTGCATTATAATACTGACTGCTATAATCTTTATAAATGCTGAGTTAACTATTTTTTATAATTCTCACAACAAAAATAATCAAATATCATGCCAACATTTTGTAACAAATTATCACATTAAATCCATTTGGATTCCATGACATATTTATCTGTACAATGGACCCCATATCACAGAGCATTCACAGTGCATAAGGTCACAGTCATTGAAAAAATAAATAACATGAGAGATTTCTGTTATTTACAGTTTACAAACCCATCCCTTTCTGTTTTCAAAGTAAGCAGTTCCAGAAAGTTTTAATAATATTTAAAGAGGTATCACACCTCCTAAAGGTGCACAGCAAATGCCTGCAAGTACGAAACACAGGTTTTTAAAAGGTTCAGAATTCGTTTTAGTGATCATAAATGATTTCAAATACTTTCTTGCAATGGAGGAGATAGTGTGAGCCAAATTCTATGCTCAGTTCCACTGACACAAATTTGTGCCAACTATCAGGACAGTAACGAGCACTGTCACCACTCCCAAGAACGTGAAGGCAAGAATTTGGTCACAACTTTGCTGCAGTTACACCTATTTGAAACAGAGGTGCTGCTGGGGAAGGAGATTTACAAGTGTTCTTTGCATACATAATTGGTATATGAATGAAGGCCATAATCTTGCTGTAAAAATCCTCTCAAAGGAAGCATCTTTACTGTTGTTATCAATCTTTCTAGAGATTATACCTGTCTAGTTTTCATATACTCTGATACTTTTAGAATTTGTTATCATGTCTAGTGCTATAAATCAATCTTTAGATTTGTCTTTCAAGTTTATCAAGACCACCTCACTGATATGATGGCAGTGATTGCCTACATTCATTGTGCAAGTAAAAAAGAAAAAAAAATGGGATTAAATTCAAACAGGCAATTCTTCTAAGAAAATATCCAAATGGTATTAATTTCCCATAATCATTAATTTCTTTCAGACAGTGCGCTGTATGTCAGAAGTATGGCAGCAAGCAGAACCACACGAGCAGCAAATGGCCACAACCATTACACATCTCAGCCTGTGCAGAAGCAGCTACATGTATCTCACATGTCAGGACAGGGATGTATAAGATTTCACAGATTTCTTTTGGGAGTAAACATGAGAACCTGACATATGGGGAAATGTGAGAAAAGTATGTGCTCAAGTTATTCAAAAGGAGGTTTTTAAATATGCACACAGTAGGTCAGAAACTGGAATGCACATATCAGTTGAATGGCATTCTCCTCTTCAGCAGAACATCCATCACTTGCATACAGACTTTTCAAAATAGTTCAAGAGAATAATAAAGGGTTTGGTACAGAGTTGCTGGAACTAAATGCTGTCATTTACCTGTGTAACCATCACATAAATCTCACCACCCAATAAAATGAAAAATATGGAGTTCAGACTCAAAGAAATAAAAAGGAAATTGTGTAGCGAATGCACGAGCTGCAGATTTTTTTTCTGAGTGTTTAAACACAAATAACTAATAGAGAGAGATCTGAGGCTTGCAATGACAGAATGTTATGCTTAAAGGTGATGTATTTCAATTAGGAAGACTCTTTGGTTTCACCTGGCTATCAGTTATTTCAGTGTCTGATTCATATTACATTAGGTCTGATCTTTCCTTGGCATGAATTATCAGGCAGTATTCATACAGCTTAAAGCACTCTACCAAAACCAACTAATAGTAGGACACAAGTAAATGGCATTACAATGGCAAGAAATCCAAGAAAGGAAGACAACAAAATCCATGTGGGATTTGTGCAACTAGAGCAAATACATAATATAAACAAGTGCAATTAAAGCACAGTCACAAGGGAAATCAAAGACAGAATAGAATCTTCTCTATGATTGCTAAGTATTAGATTAGTAAAGACCTTTTCCATTTTGTTTACATGTTGACAGAAAGTTTACAAATATCATCTAAATCCAGAAACTAATTTTATGTTTGCTATAGCTGCAGCAAGCATATAAAAACAAAATAAAATTGGCACGCCAATGACTGAGCCAGGAGAAAGATGTTGACTATGCTGTACCTGTTGGGAAGACTTAAGGTGTTCTTCTAGGCTAGACCTCAGCCCAGAGAGCAGCCCTTACATCATCAAATAGATAACCATATCTGTAGCTTCTTAGATTTAGACATGTAGATCCTAAGCTTGAAATCTTTACACAAGCAATACTTTATAATGCAGTACAATTGTTACGGTAAATAACTGTAATCAAAAATTGTCAAACTCAATGGAAACTCCCACTTGCTTGCTACAGACAGGACTGCAACCTGTGGGTCTATGTGGGACTGTGCTACTCCAGGGGAACTGCAGCAGAAAAGAGCTGCTAAAAGCCCTCCTTGGCCAGCTATAATTCAGTTTTGCCCCCGCTCATACACACAAGGACAGATGCACAGTTTTAAAGTCTGAGACAAAGAACGTGTTCTCCTATTTACAAGAGTGGAAACTGGAAGTGGTATCAGCAGAGCAGAAGTCCACGGACTCTGGTTAAACCTTATAATTTGAGAAAGAAATAAAATCCTTATACTACAAACCCAGTAAAATATGAAAAGATCTGAATATGACAGAAAACCCAAAAACTGTGCTCCACTGTCATCTTAGGACACAATCCAGCAAGGCACTTGGATATATGCTTAGCTTTAAGAATGGAATCAAACCTGCTGAAGTTAAGCTTTGCTGGATATGGGATATCTTTTTCTGAGTTGTATTACTTTTCAGTGTTAGTATGCTGGCAAATTTCAGATCACACTAACAGTTTTACCTCTCACATCCACCAGCTTTCTTTTCACTCTTGAGCTGAACATTAACTTATAGAATACTGCGACACACATTCCAAACTCAGCCAGCTAACTCTTGCAATGGTTAATAAAACAAAATGGCTACAAAATTTGAGACACAATCTGAACAGCTGCAGGATAGAACTGTACTAATTGCAGAGAGCCAAGCACAAATCACTCCTTTTCTTGATTTGAAAATGGCAAAATTTGCAATGGTTTCCTGACTACGCAAGCAAATTTTTTCTTTTTTTTTTTTTTCTTTTTTTTGGATACACGTGAAAGGCACTAGTTTGTTATTACTCTGCAACAGCCTACTGAATTACTGATACATTCTGATGTGGGTTTATCTGACACACAACGATTTGTCAATCAGATCTTTCTTGGACCATTCAGTTTACCCGCATGGCTTGGTGTATAACTCTATTTATTTTAGCATATGGATTATGACAACTTAAGAACCCTTTAAACTACTTCATATGATAATGTGTCATCAAGGCCCTGATACAGCATCTCATAATTCTTTGGCAAACAATACATCCTTGGTCATGTGGTGGTGTCAGAGGAGAACCCTACTAAGGTTATTTATAATTATAAGCATGGCATGATACCTGTCTCATAGCAGGATATGCATGAGACCATCTCATGAAATGCAACATTAGAATTCAATATAAATTGTCCTGAAGTGGGTCTATGTTTCAGGGAGGGTTGTAGATGACAGGACCAGCCACATGATTTAGCAGTACTATGTTCTGAGACTGACCCTTGCTAAACACAACACTGGTTTTCTGGAGCAGGTGATATTCAATTTAGGTAGAGTAATTCTAAATTATGTTTGAAGAACTCATAGCATTAGCAGACAAAAATCTGTGCATGTTTGGGCTGGGGGTCAGCTGCTACAGAAAAAAATGGTGCCTGTATTTTTCCAAAGTTGACTGGTTCAGAAATACGAAGGTACAGTACAGTTTGCTAGATCTGGCACTATAAGCTTTGATGCCCTCATGACTGTCAACTCAGCTTTCACTAAGCACTCAAAATCTGATTTTGGAACCACTCTTCTACTGTATGAAGACATCTGAGCTGCCTGAACCATGCACAGGAGAGCAAATATTTGGTTGGAGACAGTTAGTTCTCCAAGACCACACAACGGCAGAATATAGGAAAAGAACATTTACTCAGCCTCTCTCTGCTCCTTTCAGTCTTATATTTAAGTCATCACCATATTTTCAGCAGCAAACTGTCCTGAAAGACAGCAGGGGAGAGAGTAAGACTAGAAGGGGATGTTCCTACAGTGGTGCAGCAGTATGCTGCATTTTCACAGCCTTTCTGCAACAGAAGACTCAAAGATGAACATGAATTCCATCTCCTCAGCTTTATACTGCAGCAAAAATGTCTTGAATGCCTGGAAATGGGGTCATTGGCATTGTTGAGATAAAATGTGTTTTACTGCCATGCTTGCCTATTTAATAAAGCATTTTAGTAGTGCTGTATTTGTGGCCATCTTTAGAACTGGCTTGTTTAACGACAAAACTTTTAAATTATGAACCCTAAATGGATATTAATACTGACATTTGTAACAAAGTGTAAAGCAAGTAATAAATGTGTTGCTTTTTTTCTTTAGGATTACATTGAAAAGATCCAATTCCTAAAAAAAATTCAACAGCAGAATACACTCCTTAATTTGTACTAAAATAATTTTTAAAATAGCCATAATTGTAAACACATTGCCTGGTGTAAACAGTATTCTGCATGTCAGTTGGCTAAAAATAATTATTTATGATTTGTTAAAAGAAGGAACTTTCTGAATAAGTGCTTATTTACTAATATTTTATAGTATGTTCTCATTGACACAATTTTTTATATATAGTCTTAATGGAAATATTTATATATTTAAAAACACATCAACTGTTAGTTGATAGGTTTGGTTTATAAATATTAAAAAATTAAAAAAATCTATGTATAAAGTTAACTGTGCTTCTTTAGAAACTTTATGTGATCATTCACATACAGCTTCAAAATATTTTTAAAGTTTAGTAGCAATTCAAAATATGCTGTCTCAGTGATTTGCAATTGTATGACCACTACAATGTGGAATGTTACCCATTATTTCAATACTCTGGGCTGAATCTTGCTGTCAATTACATTAGAGTAATTCCTTACATCAGATTAATGCTGGTGGAAAGGATGTCAAATCTTGGCTTCTACTCGGAGTTGAAAAGAAGTATATTGTGCTTCAAAACTTGCATGCAATCAAATCAAGGACCATATTCTCTTGACAGACTTGCTTTTGTCTATGTGATTCTTATCTGCACTGCTCCACGACAGACACTCATCTTCATTAAGCTTCTGGGAATAAAGAAAAATTGAAGAATACACCAGTTTCTTGACTGATGAAATAAGCTTCTTCCTCCCACCAATCAAATTGAATCAAATCAAATCATAATCAGGGTGGGTTTTGTTGTCAGAAAGTCTGGATTATGTTCAGATACTACTCTCAGCTGATAACAACAACTGATAGTTACTGAGCACCCAGTTTTATTTTATTTGTTTAGTTTCTTCTAAATTTACACAATGGGCTTACAATGGCCAATGCAAAGTTTTTTGTGGTGTAATATTCCACAAATGCCAGTTTATATTTATGTGTACAGCATTCCTCATTAACAATAAAACATATTTTTCAAGTATGAATTTCTGCATGTAATTCTCTTCTTCAGTATGCAGATACTCTTGACTTCTAGTGTGCATCATCACAAGTGATACAACATACAACCATTTCCTCTTCTTTCTCTGCCACGTTGTTCATGTTCATTGAACAGAGTGATAAATATCCAACACTGCCATCAACAACTGTCAGTGAAGTTCCTCTATAAGCAGAGCACTTGAAAGGGAAATGATGTCCTCAACAGTGCATGCCATGATATGTGCCTTGGACTTTCCGGTCCTGTAGCTGAGATATTTTGAATGAGCCAAGAAAAGTTCTGAACTTGCCTCTTATCCTTCCATGGAAAGTAAATGTCAAAACCAAAAGAACTATAAAGATTTTTTTCCTGTCCTCTTGCTAACCTTGGTGATGGTTGATTGTCTGCAAAAGGAGAATGAAAACCACAACAGAATGCCCAGAAACAGGTCCTTTTAGAGTGCTGCATAAGATCCACGTAGCTTTATGTCTGAGCAGCAGTACCCAAAGAGGAGGAAAATGCTTTGGTTGCCTTGAGCTAGCATGTTAAAAGGAAGGTATGCTTTCCTTCCATATAGGAAAAAGTGCTTGTTAGCTGATGAAGCAGGAACGACACTCAAATTACTGATGGAAAGAAGGTAAAAATGTGAAATGCCTCCTGCCATTTACAGCATGTATAATCAGAAGAATTTCAGCCTCTCTCCTCATTGTGGTTTAAAGTTCTTCTCGGCACATAGGGAAGTTGACAAAGGTGAAGACATTAAACTCTATCATTATAGATAAACACAGGAAAACAGCATAAAGAAACAACACGTAGATGCCTAATTTCTTGTCAAGTTTCCACTTATTTGCATGGATTCCAAACACCTGCAAGCAAACGAAGTATTAGTTAATTAAGTTCTGAAGGAAACTTTTGGAAACATTCATTATAAGCTAAAAACAAGTCTTTTGAATCAGAGATCTTGTATGAAGATAAAAATACATTCTCAGTATTTTATAGATCAAAAAGGCTACATATGTTTTTCTGATCAAGAAAAGAAATGTAAAAGCCCAAACTAAGAACTGAAATTCTGGTTTGACTCTCAGTTGTCCTAAGATTGTTTTACAAAATATTTAATGAACTAAAATAGAGCACTGAATGAACTACATGAATGTCCCTCCCTCAAGTGCTCCCCTGCAGATTCTTTATGTCCCAGTAGTACACCAGCACCTAATGCCCATTCTTTCAACAGCTTCAGAAGAGGTGCTTTCTTTGCAGTCTGGCTGAGCTCCAGAACTAAGGGTAGTAGTAAGTTACAGGTAGCAAAGCAATGAAGTCCTCAGGAAGGCACCTCTTTTCAATGGTGTTGAGTGCCTCTGAATTGTTATTTGTTTTGCTCAAAAGTCTCCACTGAGTTTTGCTGGAAAGGTCTGTGCGAATCAGGGTATTCAGCAGAATAAACGAGACAATAATAGATGCCTCAAACTCAGCTGATATGGCTTTTGCTATGAAACGATTCTTTTCAGAAAAACATGAAGGGCTAGCATGGTAACACATCTGCATTATCTTCCCATTTTTTCCCAAAGTGCTGGTTACCAATATGCATGCAGCAACATCAGATACAAATGTCTACAGAACAACTCTGTTGTTTCACAAGCACTGCGCAGCGTGGCAGACTGGGGATAATACAAAAAAGAAGAAAAGAACAGGCTCTCACATCTTATGTATCAGATACATTAGGAAGTTAGTAGCAGAGTGAACAGCCCTGGTCATTCTACCACTTACATCATGCACAGGTGATGTGAAGTTTTGTAAGACTGAGTCATGCAACAGTGTGAAACCTCCAGTGATGACCCCTTCTTCAAAGCCTCTACAAAGTCTCCCAGGCAACCAGTGAAACACATTAGTATAAGTGAGTATTTTATACCTTTTTGATTCCTTATACCTGATTTGATTCTTCCTACAGAGGGTTCCCTGGGAGTCAGCAGGATCAGACCTTAAGTACCAGCAAAATTGACTTTTGAAACAGAATTAATTTTCCAGCTTGATAAATCATGTCACAAGGGCAAGTGTCTTACACTGAGTGACATTTAGCATCTGCATCACAGTCCTCACTGACTAGTACTTATTAACAGTTTAAGCTACAGTACTTGATTAGTCCAGGCTGGTTTTAGAAATCAGAGACAATGGCAAAGGGTGATAAACCATACCTGGGGGTCTTGTCCCAGCATAAAGCAGAGATAGGTCTGGGGTATGCACACAGGACCAAAGAAGTACTACTGGATCCCATAATTTCAACACTGTCACTGAAATCTATGGGACTTACACATATCCAGCATCTCTTGCACCAAATGCCAGACTTCAGTCCTCACTGAGGACAGCGGTAGCTCTTCAACTCATGTTATTGCTAGAAGAATGATACTTTCCAAGAAGCAATGTTAAGTATTTCTATTTTATCCTTCTATACCATGTAAATACCTAATCATTATTTTGCAACTGGAATACTTGGAGATGCTCAGATACTTACAGTAAGTGCCACTGATCCTAGCAAAAGTCCAACTGAATAGACCAGTCCTTTGCTGTTTATCTTAACCTGTGGGAATTGGAGGAGACTTTTAAAATGCTCAGCATATAGCTGTGCTTTGGAGATCAAAAATCAATTTACTGATCTATAGTCCACCTTCTGTTTTGAATAGCGACTTACATATTTTAAACTATGGAAATCCACAACAGATTTATCATAATGAAGAACAGGAAGATTAGGGAATCAAAGCAAATGTATAGTAATCTCATCTCCATTAAAAAAGAAGTCAGCATTTATAATGGGATTTATGTTAAAAAATCCTCAGAAGAGAGAGATAAGCTGTTATTCTCATCTTACAGACAAAAATACTAAGGTATATGGAGACAGCTGTGCTAGAAGTTGTGTAGTGAGAAAATGATAGAGCCATGAACTATCCATGGCACTATTTTTCTGCTACACAGTGTAATATACTTCAGTTGACAAACTGGAAATTAATTGCAGCTTGTGGAAGGAGAATTCCCTCCTTAACTTTATGTTCCTTGGCAAAGAGGAACTAATTTAGCAACTAATAACACGCTCAGCAGGTTCTTTGGGGGTTTACTTATTTTATTTGTATGCTTTCCTCTTAGGATTTTTTACAAATAGAATAAAAGGAGAACTTAAAGATTTGCCAAGTATACGTACAGTTGATCCATAATCGATCGCCATGGTCTGCAAACCCCATGGAATGCCAAGTCCCACCAGAATGTCAAAGACATTACTCCCTACTGTATTGGACACTGCCATGTCACCAAGGCCTGCAGAGAAAAAAAAACAACACTTCAAAAAAATCAAAGTATACAACCATTAGTCTGTGTACTAGAGGAAATTAAAGGGAATGATCTTCATGGATGCAATTCCCCATAGAACCAGTCAGAGTATCTGAGGTAAGGAGACAATTTCCATAACATTTGCATGACTTCTGAAAAAAGCGTGCAAAAATTGCACTCCAGCTACATCTTCCTTGTGCCTCAGAGAGCTTTTACAAGGTGTGTGGTATCCACTCAGCATCTGAGTTCAATGTCAAAGTCCTGTTCTAAATAGCCAGCAGCCACAGAAACCTGAAGATTATGTACGGGATTCAGTATGTGGCTACATGACCTTTATCTCATGTGAATGATTCAAAGAGATCCTGAAAATAACCCAACCAGGTGGTAGTCAAAGACATTAAGCACTTCTGTGGGGCTCAATCAGCAATAATTGCACTTCAGGACCAATAAAATGCAACAGGAAAGTTAAAAAAGAGTGAATTGTGGTGAAGTACCTAGGTATTACACAAAATCTACCTCAAATACTCATCACTGGCTGGCATCTCATTCTGCACCACTGTCAATGAATATGAAGAAGGCAGAATTCTCTGTCCCTGCTAATTTCTTTTAGGCACTGGCCTAACTATTAAATCACTTTCACAAAGTGAATACTGGAAAGGAAAAGGAACTTTGACATAAATGGGACATCCCACAAACAGTTTCAGAGTATACACAGAGTGGAGACATACACTACCACACCATAAATACAGTATCTTCTAGTAGGAAGCTGCTGAGAGAAGGGTAATGCTTTCAATTCAAATTATAGTAGCGTTCCTCTCTGCTATTAGATATTTGTCTGCATTCTGTCAGTAAACAACTCTCTTGAATTCAACTAGAGCAAAGTCCCTGTACTGTCTTTAAGGAAATTAGGCTGCTTTTTGCCAAGCTAGTGCTTACCTTCACTTTCAGAGGAAAAAATCTCTACAGTAGTTTTGTCTAATACAATAGAAGAACTAATCTAAAGAGCAGTTTGTTAATTTAAAAATGTAACATGTTACAAAAATCTGTTTAATAATGCACATGAAAAATTAATTTAGTAGAAAGGTGGTTCCATAAAAATTCTGAATACTTTTTTGTACTGTTTTTTGTGAGATTTTCCTGCACATAAAAAATAATACGACCTGGAAAATTAAATATTTTAAATGTATAATACTTTTCAAGCAGGCAACATTTAACAGCACTACTTCTATCTCAAATTACAAAGGCAGGGCTTTTGAGTACTTAATTTATCACTGCAAAACACTTTTTTTTGCCCAACGATGTGTGCTGCAGATCTCATTATCAGGAAGGAAAAAAGGCTATGGGAATTGAAATAGTGGAAAAGAATACCACTAGGTCCTTTTCTTATTCCACTGCTGTACCAGGGATCATGCTGTCAGCTTTTATGTTTTTCATCAACAGGAGGTGACGCTGCTACCAGCATTTTTCAAGTAAAAAAAAGGAAGTGTAAAGAAACTTAATCAAAATGTAAAGATACATAAGAAAGCCTCTGACAATTTCAAATGGACAGTTGAGGAGAACACAGCTGACAGTTATCTAAAACTCTATCCAGCACGGCTATTCAGATGTCAAAGTGGGAAAGAGGTCTGCATTTGGATTAGAAGCATGCCTGGAGCAACATGACTTCTGCCACATCCTCTTAAACTGCTTCACTTCCCTGGGTTTGAGACGTCTTCTAGAAATCAGTACAAGTTTTACATGGACAAGTGGTTGTCAGTATATATTCTTCAATGCAATTTTTAATAGCTGATATTCTAGTTTTGTCTATGACTTTTATGTTTTTACCCTGGCTGATACATACCATACATGGCATATCTTAATGTTGAATTACCTTCTAGAATGCTAGAATGCCCAGTCCCAATAAGCAAAAGATAACAGGACAAGGACTACTTTTTTGATTTACAATAATTAGCAAAGTGTTTTGGCTTCTAATGAGGCCCTGACACAGTAAAAAATAAAATAATAATAATAATAATAATAATAATAATAAGAAGAAGAAGAAGAAGAAGAAAAAGAAGAAGAAATAAAATAAAATTGACAATTTATGTATATGGAGGAAGCAAATCACAAAGCATGTATGAAGGAATGCAGTTATGCTTCAGCAGACACAGTACCTTGTCTTGCTACTATTAAGCTGGCCATGCAGTCTGGGACACTTGTTCCTGCAGCTAGGAAAGTAATGCCCATGATCACATCTGGTATCCCAAGGGTGTATCCAATCACAGTCACCTGAACAGTGAGGAAAGTAGATTAATTTACCATATCTGGAAAGTCTCCTCATTCCAATACAGTTGTGCCATACTCTTAAATTTGATTTCTGGTTTGGACCCTAACAGGATTAGACTCAGGACACTTACCTATTTCTGCAAACCAAATGCTTGTGGAATAATCAGCATAAAAACAACCCTGTGCAAAGGAAAAGGACCTTGGGTCTTATTATTCAACATTTTTGGAATAAACAAAACTCCATTTTCTGTGCTTCTAACATGATATACTGATCTTTTAAGGAGATCAGGTGATCTGGTCTGTGGGTTTGGGATTTCTTTGTTCCCAAGAATGGCAAAGATTCTCACTGGTTCTATTCTCAAAAGGACTGCAACCAATTTATATTGTAATATAGGGGCAGAGATATAAAGAATTTATTATAACCCAACACATGAAGAAGAAACTAATTTCTTGCATGACTTCTGATACAATCTTGAAGTGAGCATGTCTGGTTATACTGTCCCCTGAGACTCCAGAGACGGCTTTAAAAGAGCTCAGGAAATCACTGAAGACTGCAGAATTCTTAGAAAGGACAGGGAACTGTATTTAGTTGGAGTATTCAAAGAGGGCTGAAAAAGCATGAAGAAAAGGCAGCTGAAAAGGAAATAGGCTTGTGAGACTGAGAAGACTGAATCAGGGACAGGTAGCTGAGACTGCTAAGGATGGAAGTCTTTAAGGCTCTGTGTTGTTTTCTCGAAAAAGTTTGCCAGTGTCTTATATGAGTAGAACTGGACTCTTCACCAAAGAAAAGGTGTATTTTAGGAACCTGATGATAAATCTTATCTTCAGGGGCAGAGACTCAGAAATAGGAGTAGGCATCATTCTCCTGCTGCAACTGGTAACAGGGTATTAAAGTCCATCTGCCCCTTAGAACAAACTGTATTGCAGTTCATCTGCCTCTTAAAACAAACTGTGTTGCACCCTTAATGAGCACCTCTCTCATTTTTGATATCTACACGTGGAACCAAGGTACAGAGTGTGAGCTTGCAAAGGAGATATAATATGAAATAAATGTGTGGCTCTGGCATCATTATGCCAGGCAGAATGAGTGGCTGGTATAGGAATTTCTTCAACAGTCTATGTTAAGAGGATTGCTTTACAATGTAAAACTTATATAGAAAGTTGCAAAAAGCATACAGAAAACACAATCTTCCATGAGAAGAAACATAAAACAGTTTGCAAATGCCTGACACATTTCAGGAAAGTAGAGATGTTCTCCATCCAAAAAAGTTTTTGCAGGTTTAAGAAGTTTAAGAATAAAAATTCGTCCATATGCGTGACCAGAAGAGTGTGCGTATATATATGTGTCTATGAGTGCAATATGTGAGACTATATATATTCCAACATGAAACCAACTGAAGGTTTCTTCACCATATATTCCTTTAAAAAGAAAAAGGAAAATGGGCATATGAATTCTTCACAGCATCCTACCAATCTTCAGCTTTATATTGCAGAAGTACTGCTCATTTTCCCATCACAGAATCAGTTTGAGGAGCTTTCCTAGTCATCTCTTCTCTAATTGAAAAGGTAAACTTGAGAGACTGAAAGAGGGTGAGGAGGAAAAATAGGAATTTATTAAAATCTTCAAGTAAGTATGCTCCTGAATTGACAACAATTTATTGATATACACCTGACACACTGTTTCTCACAGATCCAGGGCAAATGGAAACACACTAGCAACCATAATACTCTTCACTAAGAATTTTCTTTCCAATCTAATCAGGATGTTTTACACCACTTCTGAGTCTGCATCCAGCTGCCTTTTATGCATGTTTCAGTATGAGACCCTGTAGCCAAATTTCTAAAAGTGTCTCAGCTGCTAAGAGTTAAACATTTTCATTTAAATGCCCTTTACTAGTAGGATGTGGATAGCCACACTGTCTTGATAATCAGGCTGGCACCTTCCTGTACTGTACTGGACCCTACACAGTAAAGACCCAATTATTTGTGGAGGATAAAGCAGCAGAAAGCTAAAATTATAATAATTGAATATGAGCTGAAGAGACTGCACTACAACTACATGCCTTGCTTTAACAAATGCACAAGAGATCTATTATCTATTTTGAGATGCCCATTTCATTCAGTATGAAATCCTGCTACATACACTTACCATCCACACCATGAAGTAGGAGAACAAGGCAATCCAGAAAGTGGATAAGACGAATGTCAGCATAAACCACTTCTCCCAGCGTGGTTTGCTGCAGTTTGGAATGGTGGCAAAGAGCAAGAATATCAATGGCCATGTCAAAAACCATTTAACTTTGTTCATTTTTCCACCTGCAGGACAAAGAAAGGAAGGAAACAGTTTAGCTTTCCCATGACTATCCCAAGCCCAGTTACACCTCTTCGAGCACAGAGGATGACGCCAGTAGGATGTTTACAACTGTGCGTGTCAGCTCATTTTCCAGTGTACCTTTCAGCTATACTTGGCCTTGTCACTCTCAGCCAAGTTCTGCATGAACATCCAGAATCTTACAGTTAAGCCTGCCAAGGTCTATGTAAATCCATGAAAGAATTACAATGATTTAAAAGCATGGCTGATTTTAAAACTAAAATTAAGTCAGGTTTGTTGCTCTTTCAAATGTCTGTATTACTATTAATCCATAACTTAAAAAAAACCCCAAACCACCAAAAAACCCCACTCCTCTCACCTTATAAGGAATATTGAAATCCAAGTGGTGAAAATAACTTGTATGTTCTGTGCAGCAACAGAAAATACTCTCACAGAAAACAGAAGCACAGACCCAACCTATGAAGACAGCAAAGTTTTTTTCACAAGCCTCACTGTTCTCACTTGGGCAGAACTTGGAATAAGCTGATACTCTGGAGATCTAGACTTGTTAACTCTCTCCAACTGCACACAGCACCACCTCGAGATGGTCTCTTATTTTCTGTAAAAATTAACTGAATATAGTGACTTTCCTTGTACAGCTCTCCAAAATCAACTGGTGAGAAATACCAGAGAACTGTCATCACTGAAGACAAGTAAATACTTTCTCATTTTTTTAAAATTTACAGTATTGTAAATGTGCATAGAAATCTTAATACATAGAAGAGAATTATTTTATAATTGGGCCATAAGTAAATGGGTTACTATTTACATAGTTCATGAGGTATCCTTCAAGTAGGATAACAAATTTGTTTATCAGGCTAAATTAGAGTAACACAGCCAACATCATGGTAATTTTTATTTCTGTTTTCTTTACATTGTGTTAGAATTATGCTAGTAGGGATTACATCATTAACTGACAATGCTATGCATGAGATCTAGCAAAATATGCCATTTTGAATAAAATAATTGATCACATTGAGGAAAATTATCAGGTACATCTTCCAGTGAAGTTATTTAGCTAAATTACAAAGAACCAGTTAATAATTAGTGAAAGCTCCTATCAAGTTTATCAGGAATTTTCTTTCAAAAAGGACTTTGGTATTTAGGATTTGTGTAATGGGAATTTTTGTCAGCGAATTTAATTAGATTGATATCAGTCCTCTGGACCAATGTGCACCAGATGCAATGAAATTAAATATTAAATTAATAATACTTTTGTAATCTATGAGGCTACTTACTAGTCTAATTTAATTTGGTGAGCTCAAATGGAAGTCTTACATATTCTAGCACTAGATTTTCTTGTTTGAGTTATGAATCAATGTCTTAACTGGAGATTTCTTTGTGAATTCTGAGATGCCATCAACCCACAAGGAAATCTTAGACTAAGCTTGGCTTTTTATTCCCATTTAGTAGCTTGGGGCTGCGGAACTTCTAACGCATAAAACCACTGAAGTCTCTTAAGGTCAATTCTAGTTCTAGAATTGACTACTACTACTACTACTACTGGTTATTACAGATTTTACAGGAAAGACATTTTTCCCTCTGGTTACATATGCTGCTACACAGATTTTTTTTAAACAGTTATCTTCTATCTGTTCTGTCCAGAAAATGATATTTCTTGGCTCACTTCCCACTTTAATTCTCTTAGCAAGGCTGTAAATATCCCATGAACTATCCTATGGTAACTTATACTTCCTCCTGTTTAATTTGTTACAGTTTAGATCATTAAAAGCTCCTAGCTAGCTAATTGGTACTCTTGGTCTGCTCAAGTTGCTAGGCTTGGTTCATAGTCAGCATGGCCTAGGCCAGTAATTTCCTCAGTGTGTAATTCCAAACACAAGGTCAGTGGGTGACTGAGAGGAAAAATTATAGATCCGATTCTGATCTACGTGGGTGTAATCTAACTGACTTCAGTGCTGCTACACATAGGCAGTCCCATTTTCTTTTCAATAACATAAAAGAAGCAGAATTGCTTGAAGAACAAATAGAGAATAAATGCAATCAGCCTCTGCTGGGGAATGTTTATCTTGTCAGGAATCTTGCCTAGTACCCTGCATTAGTCAAACAAATGCTTTACTGAGACTGCACAGTGCCTTACCCCTGGCATTGCTATGTTTGTCCAGTTCCAGGAAACCTAAGTACTAGTGGAGGAGGACTTGCCTTTCCATTATCTTTGCTGAGTTTCAATGGATGTGTGTCACCCATTCCTGGCTCTATTAGTGGTGATGCTTTATCCACACATCATGAATTGAAATTACTTTTTACAGCTAGCTGGTTTGTGGAAGTGATATTTGTGTTCATTACATGGCAGCTAGGCTTGAGACTTTGGGGAACAACAGCTGCATGTAATTCTGTGTTTTGCTGGGTTAACAGAGAAGCTGAATGGCCATTTGCAGTGAACCTGGAACAGGTTTGAACCACCATGGCCAAAGCAGCCCACTTGACACATTCTGTATTGGCTTCTCTTTTGTGTCGTGGCTTGCTTTTATAAACTTTTATATAAAGCTTTATGTATATCTGGCCTTGGTTCTGCCTCAGGCCATTTTATTCAGTTCTTACTGCTGGGTCATGAAACTTCCGTGGCACCTGGTGCTAAAGAAGTCTACTCTTACATGGTAGACTTCTTAGTATTTTAAGAATTTATTAAGTATATTTAGCAGCAACCTCAATGAAGTGAGACTTTATTTCCTCAGGGAACTGATGACTTTATTCATTTTACCTGGCTTAGATGAATGCAAAAACAATATACGGCTTGAAAACATAAATTTTATTTTTTTCTTGTTCTTTTGAAATTATTTCTTTTGCTGTTCTGTTGTTTTGGTTTTGACCACCCACTCTAAAATAATCATTAAAATGATTTAATGAGAAATTTGTTAAAGTGGAGTACGCTTGTAGCTCATGACAAATTGTTTTACAATGTTGCATAGTTCCCTAGTACTTCTTCAAGGAAGAAAATGATCTCTCATTTGATACATAACTGTTCTGTTCCATTACAAGACCTCAGCGCAGTTGTTTTAAGAGTGGTACCAGCCACTCCTGTGAGCCTGGGGTGTAAAGGCTCCTACAGCAACCCACATAACTGAGCAAAGGTGTATTTTGCACCTCCCACAATAATAATGAAAGAATATTGTTTTATTATAGAAAGCAACACGGGTCTATATTCTGTTCACTCTGCTGTAAAACAGAAAGATGAGCATTTTTTGGCATGAGGTTCTTTTTACTGCTTTATACGTCCATTTTTCCTGTTTCCACACACACTTGGAAGGCTAGTATGCCAAGTATTTCAGAGAGGTATCATTACAGAAGAGCTTGATTACAATGTTTCTAAAAATGAAGTGGCAGCCCTACAACAAAGAGCTCTTTGCTAATTTTCAAAGCATTTCTGGGCTAGTCATCTTTCTAGATGTTATGCTCACAATAACTACTTTTACATACAGATAGTGTCCTGGTGAACAGACAACAGCACACATCACAGCACTGAGTATTTCCTTAAGGCGCTAAAGAAAATACTGTCCTATTCTCAGTGTTGACACAGAGCTGAGAGGAGCTCAGTATAAAAGTATGAAACTGCATTTTTGTTTATCTTCAGATCAGAAGTGTACTCTTGAGATAGCTACTGACTGACCCCATGTAGTGTACTTTGGTTTGCAATTTACTGCATTTTAGTTTGCAACATGGAGCAGCCTTGCTGCACACCAATAAGATTCCCTTGCTATAAAGCTGAACCAGAGACACAAACTTAGAAGTGCTCCAAAACCTAATGGGATCAGGCTAGAGCTAGTCTGAAACAAAACTTCCAAAGGCATATAGTGCAGACAGTCCACATGTCCTAGGCAATAAGCTTCACAGAAAACACATTTTTAAGTTTAGACAGACTGGAGTCTGCAACTATACCATCAAGAGTCACCTCTAAGGTATTGTAGGTAGTTAAACTTGATAACTTTTCAGTTAGTCTTTCATTTAAAAGCATAGCAGGCAAGCACAGACCTCCACTCCACACTTCAGAACATGCCTAAACCTTCCCAAGTGAAAGAAGCATCTCCTTACACAAAGCAGTGATTAGCTGACTGATCTAAAAAAAAAAAAATAAGATCCCTGAAAAGTATGAATCTAACTGGCACAAAGGATTTTCAAAACTGTATGTTTATGAATTCATATAAATCTCTCACTTAAGGCAACTTGAAAACTGGGAAAGGTTTTCTCTAATTGAAGTCTACCTACAAAATGAGAAAGGCTTCCTGGAGTCTACTATTTCTTTCTATTTTTTCTAGGGGTTTTTTGGTTTCGACAACAGTAAACTTAGAGGAAAAAAATGGCACATCCAGGCTTGCCTAGAAAGATTATTGCTGCAAATTTTTTTGATGCTCCACTTCATAATTTTTGAATTCCTTTTTTATTTTTTTAATGTCTCTACCTTTTTTTGAGAAGAAAAAACAGACAAAGAAACAAAAAAACCCAACAAAACCTAACCTGTTTTTCCACCAATTAAAAGTGATTTTTAAAGCACCTGTCATCTTGGTCCTAATTAAGCTTTATATCTACAAAGATGTATTTACACCCACATATCATTATCAATATTAATTCAATTCTCAGCCAGAAAATGTGTAATGGTAACACACATGCTTCCACACTAGCAGTTTTGTAAGAACCCAGACAGCAAGTAAGCTTCTGCCAGAAAATGCTGTTGTTTGTCAGAGTTCAGACTGATTAGAAAACTTTAATATATGTAAGTTAGACAATCTGAAATCATGTCTAGTCATGTGCAGCATCCAAAACTGAAGAGAGAATTATAAATTTTTGTCACAAGTATTGGGACTCAACACAGAAACAACTAGAACAGATATAACAAACCAGATGCCCTGTGAATTTTCCATCAGAATTATTTTCCACTGAAAAATGCCTTTGTTGCAATTAAAAAAAAATCTGAGAAAATGGTTTTCAATTT